TTTTTTTTTATTGTCATCATGAATTTTACTGTGGTTGTTGATTCATTACCTTTGCTTTATTTTGCAGGCTGATCAGCCACAAATAGTCGGAAAAAGAAAGCTCACCAAATCCCCCTTAACGGATGCTGTTGATAATTTCGCTTATGACGGCATTTCACACAAACGTAGGGATTATCGACAGAGGTTAGGGTCCCCAGACACGCTGACTATAATGCCGTCCCCTCTGAATGAACCGCAGAGCTCTTCGAACGAGAACAGTATTACATTTAATGATTCTGATATGGAAACCGACAACTCTTCTGCTCGTGTGTCAAGTATCTTTTCTCTCTCATCTTTTATTGGTCTTTTTTGTGGTTGTTCTTATCTGCATAGTACTTTTTGCTTGAGCAGTAATTCTATTTTGAATTTTAAAGAGCTTGAAGCTTGCTTTTTCCTTTGCGTTATACCACTTCTCTCTTTCTTGTGAAGGCGTTAAGATGATTTTTAAAGTTGTAGTTACGGTAACAGCTCTTATTAAATTAATATTTTTAAAAAACTTTCTTTCAGCAGCAAAATCAAAAAGAAGAACACCTCATAATTTAATAGAAAAGAAGTATCGGTATTCAATAAACGACGGCATTCAGAGACTGAAAGCACTCGTTGCAAGGCCTGAAGAAAAGGTGAGTGTGACTTTTTTCACGGCGAAAAGAGACAATTTGTCTGTATTTTACAGTTTCATTTCAAAAGCTTAAGTTTTAGAAAAGTTTTTTTAAAAACGTTGCTGAAAGAAAAGCCTTAACTAACTAGGCTGTTATAAATTGACTAACCCTTATATTGCTTTATTATATTGGGTTTATAATTCCAATTATTCATGTGTTTTAGCTTAGCAAATCTGGTGTGCTTAGAGCAGCAATAGATTATATCGACCGACTTAAGCAGGATAATGGTGACCTTCAAAAAGAAGTCTGACAGTTTTGTTTTTTTCTTTCGTGTTAGCATAACTGCAGAGTTTCGAATAGTTTCTAAATTTAGGGTTTTCTAGATTATTCGGCTTCAGAATCTGCTCATGGACGCTGGGATCATAAAGGCACAAGAGGTCGTCGGGTGTAAAACCAGAGCATTTCGCTCTCATTCACCGAAATTTCCGTGCCCTTCTTCGGCTTCAGTGAGTTTTTTCTCGAAATTCCAGTTTTTCACGAGACATTTAAGATTTTAAACAAATTTAGACTTCATCAGAGCCATCTCCTTCGTCAGATAATGGAGCGTCACATCCGATGGTTGACAAAGCGCGTTTGGCTATTGTTTTGTTTATGTTCATGTTTGTGGTTTGCAATCCTTTAAGCGTTTTTATTGGAAAAACACCTGATAATATGAAAGGAGGACTTATTGAGGACATTATTCCTGGCCGAGCTCTACAAGAGTACACGGATGACTCATCTTTCGGTAGATTTCTTGTCGTCTTTCATTTTTTCAAGATTTCAGTTTCCATATCTTACTGATCTGTTTTAAGTATGGCCACTCCTCTCTCGTCTATTTTCTAAGGATAAGGTATTCAGATTCAGAAAGCGTTTGGTGGCATAGTTCAATTGTCATATGGTCGGTAAATATATTCGTCGTGGTGTGCTTTTTGACTCGACTTTTGGTTTTTGGTGAGCCAGTTGCTGATGCTGAATCTTCTTCTTGGGCTCAATTTTTAAAAATGAAAGCAGATGCTCATGCTTGCATCAGAAGTTGGAATTACGCTGAGGCCGAGCGAAATTTCCATGAATGTCTGAAGGTGAAAAGTATGAAGATTTTCAGTGTTCTTTGAAGCTTCGTGGGTATAGAGAACGTCCTATCAAACGGTCCTTTATAACAACAGAAAAATTTGCTGTTAAACTAAAGTCTTTTTTATGAATTGATTTCATCTTTTCCTTCTTAGTAAAGGAACATTTCAGGTTTTGGAGCGTCCATTGCCTAAAGCAAAATACGACGAACTTATTTCTGTTATATGGCAGATAATAAGGCATTTGCTAAACAGTATTTGGATTGGTCGTTGTTTCTCGCGCATACGACGATCGGCTGCTAAAACAGTTCCTGTAGTTTGTAGATCTCACGCCCAAACTGCTATTATATACCACCAGTTAAACCAGGTACAAAGACATATAGTTATTTTGAATATTTTTGGTATCAACTGAGATGAATTTTTTGGTTCTTGCAGTTACATTTAACTGGACCTTATAATGGTGGTGGAAAACTTGCTGGTTTGAATTTTGCTTTATGCGCGGTAAATTTAGCAGAATCAGCGGGGTGTTCTCCTGATGGTCTATCGCATGCCATGAGAGCCGATATATACATTAACGCAGCTTTACAGATGAAGCTTGAGCTACCGCCGTTCATAGGTATTCTCCTGGCTATAACGGCGATGTTGATAAATGAATTTTAAGTTTTAAAAGTTCAAACTTTTGTACAGCTTTCTTCTAAACTCAACGGCTGTAATTAATTTTCCCAAATGTTTATGGTAGTACAGGTTTGTTTCAAAACATGTTTAGGAGCCATCCTTTCCGTTTATTTTATGAAGAGAGCAAAACGTCATATTCAACGTGCAGAGGATGGAGTGCGGATTAAGTTGATGTGGCTTTTCCACCCAATTGCAAGGCGCTTTACTTCGAAAAAAAATTTTATTTCTGATCACCTTCGGTCTAAGTCGACGGTGTCCCTACCATACGTTCGCAGCTGTTCAGCAGGTTAGTTTTTCAGTTCTATCTTTTTAGCCCACCGCTTTTTTTTTTGTCAAAAACCGATAAGTGCTTTGAAGCTAAACCTATTGAGCGGTTGATGTCGGCTTTCAAGCTCGAGATGCTGAAACTCTTAGTTGGCGAACTGAATGCTCCGTCTGGTTTGGAAATTTCGTACTTTTATGAAGTGTCCCAGCTACTCTTTTCTATGTGTTCTAGTCCAAAACTTTCTGCTGGTATGTATCTAAGTGTCATAAAAACCCGTAGCGGAATTATAGAGTTGTGGAATTTTTAACACTTATATATTTTTCTGAATTGGAGTCAGAATTTCTTAGACTTTCTAAAAAATTTTTCAAACTTCAACAGTTTACACCTCTAGTTGACGGTGCATGACTTCCAGGATTTTCTATTAAGGTACTCTTAACGTCATAGATGTAACAAGCTTTGATTCACAAGGGGATGAGATTTGTGCTTGGTGGACCAATGTTTTTCTATGTGCGTTGTACTGGAGGGACTTGAAGTATGGATCTGCAGCTGAACATTACGCAGCAGTTCGTAAATGTCCAAAGATACTTCTAGCAGAGTAATGATCATTAATGTTTACTTTCTTTGAGATGCAGTTGACTGAACATCCTCAATTCAGGCCGGTTTCTCTAGCTGTTGGGCACGCATTATGTACCCGGAAGTTATGCATCCACGATCGTGAAAGCGTACTCTTTTGGCGTGTCATTTGCATTCATTCCTCTCGTTCTTTGTTAAGTCTTCGGAAACTAACTATTCCCATTCAGTGTTCTCGTACTTCCAACATTATGGAGGCCATAAGTGTAAATTTTTCCTTCCCTCTACTTGTATACGATTATGATTTTTTTTGCATCAAGTGTATTCACTAGGAGTACTACAGGACAGAGTGCGTCTTTTGTCGTTGGAGTGGCTTCTGATAAGTTCTTTTGACCTGTGGCGTTCAAAGCTAGATAACAGAAGACCTTATTGGCAGCAGCTACCGCCCTTGGAACTTAGGCATAATTATGAAGAGATTCTTGCCAAATATAGATCAGTTGCAAAAAACAATCCTGTACTAATTCGTAAGGTAACTTTCTTAACTGACATAGTGCATTTGCTAGAAGTGGTCCAGCACTATATATATATATATATATATATATATATATATATA